TTGCCGCAATAGTACCAAAGAGTTCCCAGTTGGTGGGAACTCTTATATATTATATAATATATATTATATATTATTATTATATAATAATATAAGGCAAAAGGAAACAATGACTATTTAGTATTTACCACATTTCTGCAAGTGTGGCTTTACATAGTATTTTATTTAATCTTCACAACAATTTTATAGGGTTAAGAATATTATCCTTAATATCTTTTTAAAAATGATTTAAAGATGATGATTAACTTTAGAAGAAATAGAGACTTTACATATTTGGGGAATCAAAAATTTTTTGTTCTTTATTGGTTTTTTGGTGGTGGTAGTTTTATTTTTTGAGACTGTGACCAGTGGTGCTTGGGGCATATTCCTGGCTCTGCACTCAGAAACCATTCCTGGTGGGCTAGGGGGACCATGTGTTGTGCCAAGTACTGAACATGGGTTGGCCAGTTGCAAGGTAAGTGCCTTACTCACTATACTATTGCTCTGATCCAAACTCTTTTAAGTGAATATATCTGAACTGAGACTTAAAAGAGGATTTAGATATGTAAAGAAGGAAACATCATGAAAATAAATATGAAGACAGAGAGATGATGGATTTGTTCAGAGAAAATGAGCAATCTGGCCCAAGCAAAGAGAAACGTAGGAAACAAAATATTGGAGAGGTAAGATAGAATCAAAATATGACATAACTTGTTTGCCAGGCAGACAAAAAGTTTAAAATTTATTTTTCTAAAGCCAAGTGACTTGATAATGGTCAATGCAAATTCCAAGGAAGTAGCATTGTGGAAAAGAGAAGGTTTCTATGAGAAGCAATAAGAACCTGAACTAGGAAATAGATGTGTGAAAGATGTTACTGGTTTGAAAATATGTCTACATAGATATGAGGTATGAGATTTGGCAACTGTGATGTCATGAGCCATAAGAAGAGAAACTTGAAAGATGACTCCACTCTATAAAGCCTGGACAAGTGTGAAGATGGTTCTTTAATTGAAAAAATGTAAAGAAATTATAATGTGGAAATTAGGAGAGTAAACAAAGTTTAGTTCTGGATTCAGTGAATTTGTAGTTTTCATACTTGACACATAGTTCACATTCAAGCAGTGGTATTTAAAAGACATTCATTTGGCTCAGCAAAAATTGCTAGTAGGGTAGAACGTCTACTGTACTATTTTTGCCAAATCACGTTTGTGTAGAAAAAAAAATCAAGAATGTAGAGAATTCAGTATACAGATGCATTTTTAAACTCCTTTAAGAGAAGGAGACAATTGTTGAGGGGAAGGGGATATAGCTTAATGGGCTGAAGCACACTTTGCATGCTGGAAGCTTTGGTTTGATCCCTAGCACTGTACCATCTCCCAAGCACAGAAGCAGTTCCAGAGCATTGCACCAGGAGTTTCCCTGAAGCAACCCTAGATGTGGCCAAAAATCATCATCATCATCATTATCATCATCATCATCATCATCGTCATCGTCATTGTCATTGTCATTGTCATTGTCGTTGTCATTATCATTATTATCAAAATGGAAAAAAAGAAAAGCCAGGGATGTAGCTCAGCTGCAGAGTACTTGCCTTTCTTGTGTAAGGCATCCCTGGATTCAGTCCTCAGCTCACAAAGGAAAGAAAGGGGGGGGGGGTGGGAGAGAGAGAAAGGGAGGAAGGGAGGGAGAAAGAGAGAGGGAGAGAAAGAGAGAGGGAGAAGGAGAGAGATAGAGAGAGAGGCAAACAGAGAGAAGGAACAAAGGAAGGCAGGCAGGCAGGCAGGAAGGAAAGAAGGATCTCATTTTTTCCCAGAAAGGGGAAGACAGTAGCCATATCCAAATTATAAAAGTATTAATCCAGAGGAATCCAGATCAAATTGTTCTGGATAAATTTGGAGGGCATTTTTGTTGTAAATCTGTTAAAACTTTATTTGCCGTTATTACAAATAATCAATGATAGGCCAAACCTAGGTTTGTTTCTCAAATAATGCCTCTTGCATAACAAGAAAACAGAATCTGCTAGTGGATAACATAAGGTGTGATCAGAATTATGAGTGATTCTGGGGATAAAGGAGAAACAACAGAAAGGAAGTTATCCTTGCAGATTTTAAACATGCAGGCCAGAGATAGAGAGAGTTCAAAGGTCATGCACACATGCTTGGCATGCAGAGGATTCAGGTTCGAGACCCAACACCGCATGGCCCCCCAGCACTGTGGCCCCAGCACTTCTGAGAAGACCTCCACCCCAAGTTCAAAGTACAGGAGTGTAGGTCATTTGACAAATTACTTTAGTAATAAGACAGTTTTATGTTAAGTTTTCAATTTTTTAGTTTTTGTTTTTAGGGCCACTCCCAGTGATGCTCAGGAATTATGGTAATTCGGTGGCGGGGATTGGATGCAGAGATCCTACATGGAAAGTATATGCTCTAGTCCTCTGAGCCATCTCTCTGGCCCTGTTTTCAGGTTTTAGTAGAGTCAAGTGAATAAACTTAAGGATTCAAAAAAAAACCTGATATTTTTCTTTTTAAAAATCTTTTAACCATTTTTTAATCAAGATGCCTAGATTTACAATATTGTTAATCATACTTTCCATGCATATATAGTTTCAATAAAACCAGAGAACCAACTTTCTATCCAAACGTTTAGAAAAACTCTAAATAGAATAGAGCTTCTGGGACTGGAGCTATAGCACAGTGGGTAGGGTGTTTGCCTTGCACGCGGTCAACCCAGGTTCAATTCCCAGCATCTCATATATTACCCTGAGCACCATCAGGAATAATTCCTGGGTGCAAAGCCAAGAGTAACCCCTGTGCATCGCCGGGTGTGACCCTCCCCACCCACAAAAAGGGAATAGAGGTTCCATTAACATCCTTTTGTTTTAAAGGTTTTGTATTGCTGTTCGTTTGCTTGGTTTTTGCTTTTGGGGCCATGCCCAGCAATGCTCATGGCTGCACCTGGTCCTCTGCTCAGGAATCACTCCTGGCATTGCTCAAAGAACAATATGCAAGGTGGGCTGCAAACAAGGCAAACATTTTAGCCACTGTGCTATATCTCTGGCCACAACATCTTAAAAAGAACTTAAACTTTTATGTATACCTTAATATTGACGTTATATTAAAGATGAAAACAAACCATAGGTCAAGGAGAAAACCTGACTGGACAATATTCAAAGGTTGGATGAAATCTGGGGCTGAGAATGTGGTCCAGATGTGGAGCCTGACATGCATGAGGTCCTGAAATAGAACCAAAACAAAGCAAAACAAAACAAAAAGAGAGGAAACAGAACAAAAACATCCATTGCTACCAGGCTTTGTATATATAATTGTGTAAATAAATTATATAATCATGTAAATAAATTGCATAATTATATAAATAAAAGCTAATGGGCCTGAGACTTACGTAGTTATGGGGTAGAGTACATGACTCAAAAATGCGAGACCTTTAGTTTAATACCTTGAATCACACACATAAACTAAAGAAGGAATAAATCAAATTTGCTTTATTTTCACAGTTCTGTAATTGCTTAACAACCTATTCAGCAAAGATGATGCTCTTGCCATATATGTAGCAATTAAAATATCAGCATTTTAGGCCTAAATTTCTAATTATCTATTCAAGTTCTCCATTTTATTTACACTTGTAAAGTTTCCCCTCACATAGTTTTTGATATACTGCTAAGAATGATATTTATACCTTTATAGATTGATATAGAGTACAATATATATAAAAGTCTTGCTAATTAACAAAATGTTGCTAAGACTAAATAGAAATCTTCAGTTACAATAATTTCCCTCTTCATAACTAAAATTTTAAAATTACTCAGTAACTGTGGAAATATGAATTTATTACATCCTCTAATTTCTGCATGATATAGGTAAATAGAAAGTCAGTGGGTTCTATACAGCAGACATTTTAATGCCCAATTTAAAGTAAATACATCATGTTAATATCTTGCTTACTGGGAGATAGAAAATGAAAGAAACTTGACAAAAATTCAGACCATAGAGTTTTCAAAACCACAAACTAAAAGAGCCTGTAAGGAAAAAAAATAGCTGGAAAAATTTTAAGAGTAGAATGTCACATTTTATGTTGATAAAATTATTTGTAAAATTATCACACTGCATAGTTGAATTACCTGGATCTGTGTGGGTTCTGATTAAAGTTTTAAGCATCACTTTGTAATAAATACGATTTGTCTCAAGATATGTTTAGATACTTTAGAAATGAGAAAGTAAGCCTAAAGCACCTCCTATCTTTAACTATATTTAACAGGAAATGAGATTACTAAATTCTGGGAAGTCACTGGATTAGACCAAGGTTATACCTATAGGTACTAAAAATCCCAAACATCATTTAGTTGCTTTGCAGCTAGTAAACAATAAATGAATAAACCAAATCTTTCTGTGATCAGTCATATAAATCATATCATTGTGAGTAGTGAATTGGGGCTGACAAAAATTTTACACCTAATTATGTAGCTTTTCATATATATTGTGCTGTGTATGATGTTTGTTTTTTTCTATAAAATAAGCTTACTGATTAGAGATAAGAAATGTGATTTTTGAGAAAAATGTATTTAGTTTGCATGCATAATATGAAATTGCAGAAACCAATACTAAAACATAGAGTCATTAAAGACAACTTCCTATATTTTCTTTTAATCAACAGGTTTTCCCCTTCTTGTTTACCTATAAGTGGTATTCCAAACAGCAAATCTGGAGTAGCAAATATTGTAGTGGAGTATAAAATTCTGGGTGAAGAATATTTTTATTGTAGTAATTAGATGCAATAATCTCTAATGTTAATTATATGAACATTCACATTTCATAAAATGGGAAATATAATATGTCCCCAACTAAAAAATTCCTCTCATAAACATACAAACCCCACATTAAATATGAACCTTATTATAGCCTTTTAAAACAACAAAGGAAAAGATAATAAATAAGGACTTATCTACATAGAGCCAGCTAATCATAAGAAATGAATTGTGTTGGAATCAAAAGAAATCTTAAATTACAAACCCAGATGTCTTCCTTATGATGAAGTGCATGCATTTCAGGCCTTGCCAGGTATCCCAAACCTTGAAATCTGCTACAATCCTCCCCCAGCCTTTCAAATTTTACCCTTAAAGAGAATTCCCTTCAGAGAATTTTTCCATAGCTCCTCAAGGACTCATTCTAACAGTCCTTCATCCCAAAGGTCTGTAAATCTGGTCTGGAAATTCTCAAAATGTCTCATCATTAGAGAAATGGAGACTGTCATTGTCATTCTGCCTTATTTGTCTCCAGTTTTCTTTGGACATAGTAAAGGACTGAAACCTCCTAGCAAACATTTTAGGAAAATCATCAGCAATCTGACAGTACACACAGCACATCCTTTTTATTTTTATTTATTTCTTTCCTTTGGCATAAGCAACAACAGCAGCAGCAGCAGCAGGGAAATTGGAGCCTCTCCTTTCGAATTTTAACTCACCAAAACTGCAGACTCCCTCCCCAGCCCGGGCCCGCCCCTCCTCCTTTCCCACTCCCAAGCTTTAGAAAAACAAGAGAATGAGAACATGCTTCTTATCTGGACCTGCATTGGAACCCTGTCAGTTAATGCAGGGGGAGAAAGTTACTTCGCAGGCTGCAGCGGTGTCTCACCTTCCATGCTTGTTGCCATGGAGATGATATCCAGCGAGTGGACTAGTGTTGGCAGGTTTGTCTGTGTTCTCTGATCGGCTCAGCAACAATGTAAAAGGCGTATCCCTGGGAGTCTGCAGGGACCCACTGCCGTTAGGGCTTTCCTGGCCTAGGGGTGTAAATATCTGTGGCTGTCGGTGAGATAGGACTCGAGGGCACGCGAAGTGAAGTGCGTGTGTGCGCGAGTGGATCTGCAAGAAAATGTGCGTGGATGACTTCGCTGTGCAGTGTGCAAATATTTACGCGGAGGCGCCTGTGTGTTGCTGGTGTGTATGCGTGAGGGCGCCTGTGTGTGTGTGTGTGTGAGAGCCAGAGCCCAAAAAAGGAGCCTTCCAGGGCAGCAACAGGCTCTATCTCATCCTCATTCTGCTAAAAAGATGGGGGGTGGGGGGGAGGTGCGCTCTGCAGATTAGCGATCGGAGTCCATCACCCTCTTGGTTTCCCCAGGAAGTGAAAATTGAATGAATTTGTTAAGACCCTCGTTTCCCTCCTCGCTGCACTGACAGTTGTGCCATTCGCGTTTTGCTGACCTCAGTGACCGCAGTCTCGATAGAAAAAAGTAAGCGTTAAATTCTTACGTGTTGCTTCTCATCTGATCACGGAAAGACCGGAGTGCAAGAGAATCTGATTTAACTGGGGACGGCAAGCGTCTACTGGAGTTATTATTCCTCACTCGTCTTGTTTTCCCTTCTACGTAAATCGAACTGAAATCCCCTCCCTTTTGGAGAAGCTGGGGCTGTGCGCTGTCCGTAGTGCTGAAACATTGCGTAGTAAGACTGCTCTCAGGTATGAGCTTTAAAGACACCACGCAACCCCTATGTAATTGCAAAGCACATTTTCTTAAAAGTGTTGATCACACTATTTACATTCCAAACCTAAGCCACGTTGCTAGAAAAACAAAAAAAGGGGGGGAACCCTTTTTATTCTTTCCTACTCAAGGTTTACAGCACTCTCAAGCACTCTCAAACTCAGATTCTTAGTTTCTAATTTTGTTCTTGTCTGGATAATATATCCAAAACCTAGTTTCAAACACCTGTAGGTCTGAAAATATTTTATTTTTTCACTTTATGTATAACTTAACTTTAAGTGGCTGGAAAAATGAAGATGCATAATTGGGTACTCATATATACAAAACCACGGTGAAAAGACATAAATGAGAGGTGTATTACAGTTTAATAAATGAAGTGAAAATCAAATTTATAGTCATTTATAGTTTTTGTTAATTTAGGACACTTCATAGACACTTCATTCACACAAACAATAGAAAGTAGTGGTCTACAAGGATGTGCTAAACAAAATTATTAATCTTTACTTAAGACTATCAAAACTTTTTATAACTAAATGTCCATCTAAGAAAAGAGAGAGAATGGAATAACAGTAATTTGTTCTTTGCCATAATTTTATTGATAATTTAAATTTTTCTGAAAATTTTGAAAAACAAAATGGACATTCCCCAAGATCTAGAAAATGAGCTCCCTTTTGACCCAGCAATACTACTTCTGGGAATACACCATGTTGACCCAACAACACACAGCAGAAATACCACCTGCAATCCTATGTTTATTGTAGCATTATTCACAATAGCAAGAATCTGAAAACAATCTGCGTGCCCAAAAATAGACGAATGGATAAAGAAACCATGGTATATCCATGCAGTGGAATACTATGCAGCTGTTAGAAAAAAATGAAGTCACGAAATTTGTTTATAAATGGCTGGACATAAAGAGTGTCATGCTGAGTAAAATGATTCAGAAGGAGAGGGACAGATGTATAATGACTCCACTAATTTTGGGGATATTTTAAAAAATAGTATGAGACTACTATCTAAGTCCAGGAAAAGCAGGGGACAAAAAGGATTGGCTCACAGTTGGAAGTTTGACCCAAGTGTGTGTGGGGCAAAGGGCAGTAAGGATAGAGAAGGGACCAGTATAACAATAATAGTTAGAGATGATCATTCCAGACAAGTACTGAGTGTTGAAAGTAGGTAAAAACATATACATAACTTTAGAGTATCTGTATTGCAAACCACATTTCTCAAAAAGAGAGACAGAAAAAGAGATAGAGAGAAAAGAGAAATGTGTCTGCCATAGAGGAAGGGTGGGGGGTAGGAGGGAAACTGAAGAAGTTGGTGGTGGGAAATATATTCTGGCGAAAAAAATGGGTGTTGGGATATTGTATGACTGAAACCCAATCATAACAACTTTGTAACCATGTATCTCACCTTGTTCAATAAAAATAAATAAATAATTTTTTGCTGAAGTTCAGATTCTTTTTTGAGACTCTAAAACAGTGATCTTTAATGTGCATATAAATCCCCTGGGCTCTTACCACAGAAATGAAAGTTCTCATTAAGTGTGAAAGTATGTGTCAAAACCAATATAAATAGTATTTAGAAATCATATTTGGTTTAGAAAGTTGAACAGAACCATTGTTTTATATCACCTGTGGGTATTGCTCTGCCTTCATATACGTGGATTTTTCAGAGGTTGTTCCAGATTGTTTTCTATTAGGTAAAGGTAAAAGGTAGAGGCCCTCCCGTTGATCGTCGATTTGCTCGAGCGGGCCCAGTAACGTCTCCATTGGAGACCTTGTTGTTACTGTGTCTGGCATATCGAATACTCTCGGTAGCTTGCCGGGCTCTCCGAGAGGGGCGGAGGAATCGAACTCGGGTTGGCCATGTTGGCCGCTTGTAAGGCGAACACCCTACCCGCTGTGCTATCGCTCCAGCCCTCGGGTCCTCTGTTTTCTATTATTTAATTTTATTTTTGTTGTTGTTGTTGTTGGTGGTGGTGGTGGTATCCTGGAGGTTCTCAGAGTTAGTCATGGCTCTGCACTCAGGAATTACTCCTAGAGAGCTTGGGGGACCATATCGGATGCCAGGGATCAAACCCAAGTTTCCCATATTCTGAACTTTTAGCAATAATCCAGGTGATTCCAGAAGTTACTAGTCTCCGGATAATACTTTAAGTGGCAAGGTGCTAGAGATTTTCATTCTGGCAATTCAGTCACTCAGAGTACAGAGGAAGAGATCATTTATACCCATGTATGGTTATAGTCTGTGCAAGGATAATCTATTTAAATAAGTCGGTAGATAAATTTTTGCACATCATGGACAAGATGTTTATAAATAGGACCATTTTAAAGACATATATTTAATTTGTTGAGGAAATATTGTTTTACAAGAGGGTAAACATATGTCTTAGAGGCACAATGCTACTGCCTCATATCAACCTTCAAAATGCCAGAATTAGCTACTGCAGTTCTACCACTGATGTATGAACTCTACTCCAAGAATTTGTTATCTTGGTTGGAGATTTTGACTTGCCCTGTTAATTCTATAAATGTGATTCCATAGTCAATAACCATGATTCAAATTTTTAAAATGCATACACTACCAATATAAATAATATTTAGGAAATCATATTTGGTTTAGAAAGTGGAACAGGACCATTGTATTATATCACTGGTGGGTATCATGATCTGTCTTCATATACATGGATTTTTCAGAGATTGTTTGAGATTGTTTTCTATTATTTATTTATTTGTTGTTGCTGAGGTCCTGGAGGTTGTCAGGGTTAGTCATGGCATTGCACTCAGGAATTACTCCTAGAGATCTTGGGGGACCATATGGGATGCCAGGGATCAAACCTAAGTTGGCTACATACTAAGCAAGTGACCTACCCCTGTGCTATTGGTCTAGCCCCTGTTATTTTTAAAAACATAAGTACCTCTTCATATCATTAACTGTGTTTTCACCAAATGCTTGTTATCTGATGCCAAAAGAAATTTTTTTATATAAATTAGATTCTTTGGGCTGGAGTGATAGCACAGCGGGTAGGGCGTTCGTCTTACAAGCGGCCAACATGGCCGACCCGAGTTCGATTCCTCCGCCCCTCTCGGAGAGCCCGGCAAGCTACCAAGAGTATTCGATATGCCAGACACAGTAACAACAAGGTCTCCAATGGAGACGTTACTGGGCCCACTCGAGCAAATCGACGATCAACGGGAGGGCCTTTATCTTTTTACCTTTGGTGTTAGTTGGTACATGATCTTGATATTTTCAAGCAATATGAGCAATGGTGATGTTCAGAAAAGTCTGCAAAGTGGATCATTTAGGAAAAGTGTAATGGATTAAAAGTCCATTATGTTCCATTTCCTTTGCTACATACTGGAATAGAAAGATATATGACAGTTGGTCTCTGCCCTTGATAAGATACATTGTAAAACATATAAAATCTACAAAGTGTCATAGGAGCACAGAAATAATTTATGTTTTATTCTCTGTTGCCAAAAAAGCAAGGAAAAAGAGCAAAATAGAGAAAAGCCAGAATACCTGTACTTCAGGTCTTTTGTCAATGTCTGCTCTCTAGATCTTATTAAAATTGCTTATAGATAAATAATAGATGGATGCTTTTCTAAATTACATGTACTCAACCAATACTTTGAATGGCTTGTGATTTATTTCCAGAGCAAATCAAATTTTTATAAGAGAAATATGTATGGCATTATTTAGGCTTCTTCCAAACAGAATTTCCTTTACTGAAACATAGCAATTTCAGT